CGAAACCCAACCCCACCATGATGCTCAGCATCTCTCTGCATGCCGTCACCCCGAAGCCATCCCTCGTCGTAATTTCTCGTCCGTTATTCAGCCGGCGTTCGACGTACGAGTTCATTCCGAATCCGTCGGCTGAATACGAGACGAAGTGCGCAGCAGAGAGTGAGCAGTTTTGCGATTGGTAACGCTAGCGCCGTCTTGCTCTCCTGCGTGACCTCTGACCTGCGTGACCTCTGACCTGTTGCTTATGCTGTTGTTTGCTCTAACCAAGCCGCCGCCGCTAAGATCGAAGGCGCTCCGACCAAGCCGCCGCCGCCGCCGAAGGCTCCGCTAAAGAGTAAAAAACCCAAACCGAACCTTCTGAATACTAACGGTAGGTGATCCACCCACTGCTGCCGCTGCCGCAGTGCGGAGGGACAGGTTACTGCATGCAAAGAGGAGGGGAGAAGGGTGAGCTGGGGCGGTGGGGGGGGGGAGGTGCATGCGTGGAGGAGGGGAGAAGCGGTGAGCTGGGGCGTGGGGAGAAGGAGGTGCATGCGTGGAGGAGGGGAGAAGCGGTGAGCTGGGGCGTGGGGAGGAGGTGCATGCGTGGAGGAGGGGAGAAGCGGTGTGCGGTACCGTAGCATGGGGAAGGGATGTATGTGTATGCGGCGGGGTATGGCAGGACACGGGGAAGGGATGCATGTGTATGCGGCGGGGTATGGCAGGACACGGGGAAGGGATGCATGTGTATGTGGCGGGGTATGGCAGGACACGGGGAAGGGATGTATGTGTATGTGGCGGGGTATGGCAGGACACGGGGAAGGGATGTATGTGTATGGCAGGACACGGGGAAGGGATGTATGTGTATGCGGCGGGGTATGTCAGGACACGGGGAAGGTATGCATGTGTATGGCAGGACACGGGGAAGGGATGCATGTGTATGCGGCGGGGTATGGGCCAGGACGCATGGGGCAAGGGATGCGCATGTGGTATTGCGGGCCGGGGTATGAGACAGAGAACACAGGGAGAAGGGAATGTAAATGTAACGATAATGATTGGGGCGACGAATGGGACGTCAGGAAACAACGGAGAGAGATAGGGAAATGCATGTGATAATGACTGGCGGAAAAGGTAATGGCAAGGACACGGGGGAGGGAATTGTATAGTGGATATGCCGCAGGACAACGGGGAAGGGGAGATGTATGTGTAATGCGAAACGCAGAGGAGATTATGCCAGGACAACAGGAGGAAGGATGCATTGTGTAATGAATGATCAAGAAGGAAAAATATGCAAGGACCACGGGGGAAGGGGTGGATGATGATATGGCAGAGTTCGGAAAGAGTAATGTCACGGAACATGGGGAAAAGAGACTAGCGGGGTGATGTTGGGGAAGACCGAAGGGTCCACACCCAGGGGCGTTAAGCGGTAGACGGATGCAGCGACAACGCATGCGGAAGTTTCTAGAGAAGAGGACAAAGAGTTAGACGAGGAGAGAACGTGGGGGGGCTGAATGGAGAGTGACGTAGAGACATAATCAACATGACAGCGACGGAGACACAAGGCACAAGTTGTGAAATGGTTTGAGGAGAGTGATGGGTACGAGGGCACCGTAACGGGGGAAGGATGTGGAGGCGGAGCGAAGCACATGAAATAGGGGGGAAGGCACGCGACGAAGCACAGTAAAAGCGGGCGGAGGGGAAGGACGGACGAAGCACATAAAGGGAGAGGGAGAGAGCCGAGGCAACATAAGGGGCGGAGGGAACGACGGACGAAGCACCTAAAGGGGAGGGAGGATTGACGGCACCAAAGGGAGGAGGGGAAGCGACGGGACGAAGCACATAAAGGGGAGGGAAGGACGGACGAAGCAGATAAAGCGGGGAGGAGAGACGAGGACAATAAGGGGGAGGGGATAAGGACGGACGGAAGACATTAAAGGGGAGGAGCGGATGAGGCACATGAAAGGAGGAGGGTACAGGCACGAGCGAAGCACATAAAGCGGGGCGAGGGAGGGATGAGGCGACAGAAAAGGACGGAGCGGAAGGACGGACCGAAGCCCACATAAGGCGCGGGAGGGAGGAGGGACGCGACATGACATATAAAGGGGACGGGAGAGGGACTGAGACATATAAAGGCGGGAGGGAGAGGACGAGACATATAATAGGGGGGGAGGGAGGGACGAGACCATATAAAGGGGGAGGGGAGCGGCAACGAGAACTATAAAGGGGGAGGCGAGAGACGACGGACATATAAAGGGGGGACGGGAGGGAGACGAGACATATAAAGGGGGAGGGCAGATGGACGAGACATATAAACGGGGGAGGGGCAGGGACGAGACACTATAAAGGGGGAGCGGGGTATGGACGAGACATTATAAAGGGTCTGGGAGGGTATATGACGAGGACATAGTAAAGGGGGAGAGGGAATGGACGAGACATTATAAAGGGGAGGGAGGGGACGAGACATATAAAGGGGGAGGGCATGGTCGAGACGATATAAAGGGGAGAGGATGGACGAGAGCATGATAAAGGGGGGAGGGGGAGAGACGAGACATATAAAGGGGAGAGGGATGGACGAGCCGCGTAAGTACAAACGCAGACATGCTCAAGCATTCCAACGTTTAGAAGCCTTTCGGCTCGTTCTGAAATTGTTAGTAGAAATTGTATTAGCTAATCAACTTAACCGATGAATTAAACGAGCTAATTAGATGTACTAATTGAAACTTGGACGAGCGAAATGCTTGCAATTTGTCGCCTTCGCGTCTGTTGGTGCTGATGTCTGTCTGGCCGCCATGTTCAGCGTGATTGTGTGAGTGTAACATGATAACTGAGTTAGTAGCTGCTGTGTCTGATTCATTGCTTCGTCATTGTTCGCGAATGCTGGTTTGGCCAGTCAGTGCGCGCACACACGCGCGCGCATGCACGCACGCATATAGACGCACGCACGCATATAGACGCACGCCGCGCGCATGCACGCACGCATGTATTACGACGCACACACGCGCGCGCATGCCCGCCACGCATTATAGGACGCACACACGCGCGCGTGCGCATGCATCGCCACGCATATAGGACGCCACACCTTACGCGGCGCGCATGCACGGCACGCCACTATTATAGACGCAACACACGGCGCGCGCATGCACGCACGCTAATAGACGCAGCACAGACCGCCGCGCGCGCATGCACGCACGCATATAGACGCACACACGCGCGCGCATGCACGCACGCATATAGAGCACTACACCGGGCCGCGCTGCACGCACACATGATAGACGCATCACTACGCGCTGCGCAATTGCACACGCACCGCATATCAGACGACACGCGTCGGCGCGGCACGCACGGCATATAGACGCACACTGCTGCGCGCGCGCATGCACTATCACGCATATAACGCCCACACCACGCGGGGCGTCGCATGGCGCACGCGACGCATATAGTACGCACACACGGCGGCGGCACGCACGCGATATAGACGACAGCACTGCGGCGGCATGCACGGCACGGCTTAGACGCACACACGCTGCGCGCACGCACGCAATATAGGGGACGCACACACGCTGCGCGCGATTGCACGCGACGAGTATAGAGCACACAACGCGAGCACGCACGGTATATAAGACGCACACACGCGCGCACGCACGCATGCATGATAGACGGCGACACGACGCGCACCACACACGCACACACGCCACCACATGCAAACGCACGCACACACGCAGGCACACACGTTCACAGAGGGCGCATCAGTGCATGCTGAGTTCTAGTATAAGTTGTATGCAGTGTGTCTTCCAGCAACATTACACTGTCTTAACCTAGAGTGGAATTTAATTGAATGTTGTCTCCAACAAATGTTGCTTGTATTGAATGTTGTCTCCAACAAATGTTGCTTGTATTGAATGTTGTCTGCGTTAAATGTTTCCTTAATTGAATGTTACATAAACTGAATTGTCTTTAACGAAGCTTTGCCTTCATTCAAGTGTGGCCATAATTGAATGTTGTTCATATTGAATGTTGTCTTTGTTGAATTTTTCCTTACTTAAATATTGCTTTAATTGAATGCTGTCTTCAACGAATGTTGCCTTCATCGAATGTTGCCGTCTGTTAGAATGTCTGCCGTCGATTAAATGTCCGGCTGTACGTTCATTATGGTGGCTGACATTATGGAGACAAATGCTTGCGTGTTGATGTGAGGTGTGTTGCACGGAATGCCGTTATAGCCACAGGCACTTGGGACAGAGTCAGTAAAAACCTGAACAATAAATATTAACGCCCACATTTACAATACGACCGTAGGCCCTTTACCTCTTCAATTACAAGTTCCGCACTGTTGTGTGTTGTGCTCATGTATAATCAAGCTTTCCTTCATAAAACTAAGCGCGACCCTTGCCGCTATCGCCGCCTGCGACGTGCTGCTGTTGTCGCATTTACATGATTGAATTATAGATCAGTCTTTATCACGTATGTGCGTTATATTATTATTCAGTTGCTTTACTGACTCTGTCCCATAGCTGGCCCTGTGTTATACTTGCTGCGTTGATAACCGTTATTTTACCATCTCTTGGTGNGGGGGTATGTGTGTAGTACACTCATGCTACACCTATAGGGGGGTATGTGTGTAGTACACTCATGCTACACCTATAGGGGTATGTGTGTAGTACGCTCATGCTACACCTATAGGGGGGTATGTGTGTAGTACGCTCATGCTACATCTATAGGGGGGTATGTGTGTAGTACACTCATGCTACACCTATAGGGGGGTATGTGTGTAGTACACTCATGCTACACCTATAGGTATGTGTGTAGTACGCTCATGCTACATCTATAGGGGGGTATGTGTGTAGTACGCTCATGCTACACCTATAGGGTATGTGTGTAGTACACTCATGCTACATCTATAGGTTTGGTATGTGTGTGTAGTACACTCGATGCCTTTACAGCCTGATAGGTATGTGTGTTAGTACACTCATGCACACCTATAGCGGGGGGTATGTGGCTGGTAGCTACGCTTCATGCATACATCTTATAGGGGCAGTATGTGTGCATGTAGTACACTCATGCCTACACCTATAGGGGGCGTATGTGTGTAGTACGCTTTCATGCCTACACGTGTAGCTAATAGATACAGGGCCTGCGCACAGTGCCTGGCACACGTTACAGTTACGTACGGTGCTCGGCAAACACCATTCATGTTTATTCCCTGCTAGCGCCAGCGGCTATTTGACAGCCCTTATATAAAACTATTTTATGCTATATATTAGCTTCCTCTACATTTCCCAACACACCTATATAATATATAAGTATATTATATATATTATATATAATATATATTATTGTATGTATATATATATATATATATATATATATATATATTTATATATATATATTATGTTCGTTGGAATGTAGAGACACTATAGTTCTGTATAGTATATATATATTTATTTATTTATTTATCAGGTGTTAATCATGACAAATTTGCAGTGGGTGGGGGAACTTTTTCTCTACGTGTGTTTCCTCTAACTGTGGAACATCTATTTTCCGGAACACCCCTATATGTGTAGTTCCTTTATATTTCAGTGGTGTGCTACCACGTAGGAACATCAGCATGTGGCTGTTGCATGCTTGATCGTATGTTCTTCCAATGTTCCAACACAAGAAATGCGTCAGTTCACGCGTGCCTTTCACATGCACGGTTCACGAACACCGCAAAACATATCTGTGTCCGATGTTCCAGAACGGCCAAACTGCACGGACAACGAGTTCCACTGCAGTACGGCAACTGCATTTCGCCAGGTGGCGCTGTGACGGCGACGACGACTGCGGGGACAACTCGGACGAGAACTGTGGTGCGTAGTGGCGCCATCTGTCTGTGGGGTGGGGGTGGGGGGAGGCAATTCACACTTTCCAAATGTATAATTTTCGTAGTTGTCCAACGCTTCTTTAAAAAAAAATTCCATTGATTTTTTTCATTGGCAATTTCCAGTCTTTTGACCACTTTGTTCTTCGCGCGTTTTTTTAATGCGAGACGCGTTTTTTTATTGTTCAATAGAGCGTGGATCATGCTCCCCAAAACAAGTTCGTCTGCGCGGATGGAACTGCGTTTTCGTTGCTATGGCGATGCGATGCGACGCAGACTGCGATGATGGCTCGGACGAAATTAACTGCAGTAAGGACTTCATCGCAGCATTCCTTGTCATTCCTGCATTGTTCACTCGTCATTCACCCATCATTCACCCATTATTCACCCATCATTCATCCATCATTCACCCATCATTTGCTTACCATCTCTTGTGTTGCATCAGGTTCACCCATTGTTCACCGGATCGATTCATCCCATTGGATTCACGGCATGTGAGTTCACCCAGGGTCAGTTCACCGCATCAGTGCACCCGATGTTGAGTGTCGAGGCATGCAATACCTGATTAAGTTCAGGCTATCATTCGCGGGGGCGTGTGACCATCCCCGTGTCATGCATTCACCCATCATTCAACCCATCATTCACCTTATTCACCATCATCACCCATTATTCACCATCATTCACCGATTAATGTCACCATGCGATTCACGCGCGAGTCAATCAGCCCGGATGTATTCAACTCCATCATTCAGCCGATCAGATCACGTGATGTAGGTGGTCAGGCGATTATCAGCATCATGTCAACATATTCGACATCATCGAGCGATTAGTCACCCATCATTCACCCATCAATCACCCATCATTCACCGATCAATCACCCATATTCACCCATTATCACCCATTCACCAGTATACCATTGATCACCATCATTCACCATTATTCACCATCAACCTCACCCATCATTCACATTATTCAGCCCATATTTCACCATTTTATTCAGCCCATCATTCACGCCTTATTCACCATCATTCACCCATTATTCGACCCATCCGATCACGCCGATTATTCACCGATCAATCACATCATGTCACCGCAATCAATTCACCCATGTATTCAGCCCATCATTCCACGCCTTATTCAACCCATCATTCACCCATCATTCACCCATCAAATTCACCCATCATTCACCCATCATTCACCCATCATTCACCCATCATTCACCATCATTCACCTGATATGTCATTCATCCCATCATTTCACCCATCATTCACCCATCATTCACCCATCATTCACCCATAATTCACCCATCATTCACCCATCATTCACCCATCATTCACCCATCATTCACCCATCATTCACCCATCATTCACCACAATCGATTCACCCATCATTTCACCCATCATTTCACCCATCATCACCCCATCATTCACTCGTCACTTGCTTACCATCCCTGCATTATTCGCTCGCCATTCACTCACTATGTTATTCGCGTGTGATTCTGGCATCATCTGCGCGTGTTTCACCTTTGTCATTAGTGTCCGCGTGGGTCGCTAATGCAGCGGTGTTAGGCAGCAGCAGCAGCATTAGTACAGCAGCTAAGCTCCATGAGAGATTAACCCCAGCCCGGGCCAGCCGGCGCGGTTCCCAGCCGGAGTTCGCATCCCACGATGCAGCAGTAATGCGCGCCTGCGGCGCGACGCAGGCGAAATAATTTTTATCTCGATCGGCTGGCGAGCTGCAAAAACTCCCGCCTGCTAACCGTGACGACATCAATGAGCGTAATAGCATCGCGCCCTCGCGCCGCGATGTGCGGTCTGGTAATCAGCGCCCTCTATGTTTATAGCTCACACGGTCGAGCATTGCCGCAGCGACGAGTTTCAGTGTACGTACGGACGCTGCATTAGCGCCACCTACCTGTGTGACGGCGACAATGACTGCGGCGATTGGAGCGACGAACAGAACTGTACTGGAGGTAGGAAGGGAGTGTTCACTTGTTTTACTTGTTTTTTAACTATGTACCTGTGTTTACCCTGTAATACTGCTTGTAATACTGCCTCATGTATTACCTGTGTTTACCTGTAATACTGCCTCATGTATTACCCGTGTTTACCTGTAATACTGCCTCATGTATGTTACCTGTGTTTACCTGTAATATTGCCTGATATGTTACCTGTGTTTACCTGTAATACTGCCTCATGTATTACCTGTGTTTACCTGTAATACTGCCTCATGTATTACCTGTGTTTACCTGTAATACTGCCTCATGTATTACCTGTTTTACCTGTAATACTGCCTCATGTATTACCTGTGTTTACCTGTAATACTGCCTCATGTATTACCTGTGTTTACCTGTAATACTGCCTCATGTATTACCTGTGTTTACTT